GTTGGCATATAAGATAATAAATGTGTATGCTAGCTTGCTTATTTTAAATTTTACAAAATCATTTAAAAACTTTTGGCAGGCCGAATCTATAGAGCTCGAGTGCCGTAATTTCGAGACCTCTGGTGAAAGTTATAACTTAGAGTAACGTAAAAGTGAAAAACAGACGTGACATCTTTGAATCAGTCTGTACTTAGGCAAGAAAAATCATTTTCCCTTTATATCAGGTAATCTTGGATGCTTTTAGTGGCTCCGAGCAGATAATTTCAGATTACGTGTTCCAGGTAGACCAAGCGTAAATGTCAGCGTCATACAATAGAAACATTATGCATACGCTTTGGGCGTACAGTAAAACATAGGTCTGCTTCTGCTGTCAGAAGTCAATCAATGTTTATTTATAGGGCAAACATTGTGATATTTTCTTTTCTCATTTGAAAATGTACCTAAAACGTTTTCCTTTAATTGCAAGGTAATATATTAGATTAAAGTAAGCTAAAATCCAACAGCATCACTAATTGACTGCGTGCGTCAAATAAAGGCATGTTTAAGATCAACACGAACGATAGCAATTAACGTAAAGAAATCCATTGACACTGATTTATTTGCTGAGATATTTATGAGCAATTTGAAGAATGCTTTGGATATAAGGAATAGATAAAAAGAATACATTCGTGCATGTATCCAAATCCTCAGTTACAACACAGGAACCTATAGGCATGGGATAGAAAATTTATTGACTTTAAGAATTGACTTTAAAAAATGGGTTATTTCTTAATATACTGGTCATATCTTTTTACTCCTTTTTCTTTATAAAAACGGCAGAGTGAATTATTAATCATGATATCTCAGGTGAGTGAAATCTATTACTTCCATCAAAGAGTTTTGCTTGAAGTATCTGTTTTCTTTCTTTCCATTTTTTCAATACTGTTGTAAGCACTCCTTTAGAAATTGCTTCTCAGAAAGATTTTATTGCGAAATTTGCTATTAAAAAGGGATCTATCTGAAGAAGGGCGTCAGATGACACGAGAAACTCCGTCTTTACATGCATCTTAAGAGTTTCGGAGCCAAAGGGCTAAAGGATATGTCAACTTCGCGCTGAAATGAAATAGAAAGCATTTGATGCAAGAGGCACAAATTTAAGTCTCCAAAATTTCGGAGATGAGTGATGAAAAGCAGTTCTCTTTTATAGAAACAACTGATTAAAAATTAAATTTATATTGCCTTTTATTCCAAAAGCTATATTTTAAAAGCCAATAAATTTGATAGCGATTGTATCCATCAGCACGGGTTTAATGTAACTGAAAATTCATCTTGCGGTGGAAGGTGGTGTGGTGTATTTAATTATGGCAAAGCACACTAGGGCTATCTGCCTAAGAGGAGGGATGCCTTTCGTGGAGGGACTTTCTAAGGGAAACTGGCTCGTATACACGTTACACATGGTGAAAACCACGAAAACACCCATGCAGCCAGCCCGTTCGCGGGATTTGAACCTCGGGACCGAACTACCACTGTTCAGCGACTTTACCGCTCGGCCGCTGGTGGGCCTTGTGGTGGAAGGAGTATTTAGTATCTTAATTATTAGAAATTCTGCAGAAGATCCAAAATATTAAATGCTACTTTTAATTCCTGAAGCGAAAATTCCGTTTTCTTGCATTTTCCTGCTAGCTGAGATTTTGAGGCCAATCTCTGGTATATTACTCGTGTTGTCCTTATTTCGGGCATCCGTAACAGTGACTTCGGCTTCTAAATGGTTCCTAGAGGTCGGCCTTTACTTGGTTCTCTAATTTGCTTCTTAGCATTAGATATCCACCCCGCCCCGTTCACCGAAGAAAACTGGAGGGAATTGCATTAGATAAGAAAGATTTTTTTTTCCTCTATCACCAGATTTTTTTTTGGGGGGGGGAAGACAGGTCATCTTTTAGATTTTACAATAGGTTCCCTAAAGACATTAAGCATGGAGCTTTATCTTCTTTGAATAGCTTACAGTTGTAGATCAAGAGACCTTGTCAATATTTACATAGTTTGTAACATAGCGTCAAAGAAGTCTACTCTAGATAAGCCTTGGAAGATAGCATTAACACAACTGTCTACGGTCGAGTTGCTGATATCTGAAGCAAATCACTGGAGTTTTACTTCTCCATAAGTTTTCATGCTGATATAGGTGGAATAACAGATTATAATTTGTAAATATAGTTTGTCTGAACAACAAAATTTGGAGTCAGCCGAAAAATATCTTCAAACGAAAAGGCAAACAATTAAACACTAAATATAGAAATATTATGAATTATAGCTTTACATTTGATGTAACTGCAATAATTTATTATATATTTGTCAAGAACGGGGCATATAGTGAATTACATTAAATATGAAACTTAAAAATCAATTTTCAAGTTTCAAATGACAGTCATGTTCCGATTTTACGTCGTTAGTCAAGATGGCGTTAATTATTCAGAATAAGTTACAGTTGCAGCATGATCAAATGCATATCAGAAAGATTATGAGGTTGTGAAATATGCAAGATATGATTTTTACTTAAATGTTTTGCCATCGACTATGCGAAAGTGCAGAAAAACTATTGTTTATTAATGAAACCAGTAAAGAAAATCTACTGGAAAGACTGACATCGTAGCATCCTTGCAGGAACAAAGCAAGCTGTTTGAGGTAATAAATGGGTGTCCGATTAATACTATTGCATAAAGATGTGTTGAATTATATATTATTGTAACTGCTGTATTATGTATTTGGGAAATAGTGTATAATACCTTTGTATTATATAGTCCTCTCCAAATTAAAGAACTGACTATAGTCGCAATATTATTATAATGAATTAAATATTATTATGCATTGAAGCCGTATTTAAACAGCCGAAGTAAATAGGTAACCTTCTCACTTTTGGCTTTTGATGGAAAATTACAGAATTAGATCTCCGCATATAATCCCAATAACAGTAAATTTAGATATGCGCGCCCTGACAAGACTAATACATTCGTTACTTTTTGGTTGCAATAGGATTATCCTTAACAGCAAACTCAGCGACAAATTCGTCAGTTATTTATTTTAATTAATTTTGATTGGAAATTGGTACAAATATTAATTTTTCTGGTTTGAGACATAATGACTTTAGAGATAATTGTAAAATTTTAATTAAATATTCATCAGTTTTCGTTTAAAACTGCGACTTTAATTCGCTGTTCATATTATATAACTGTAGATAATTTTTTTTAAGTTCATACGCTTAATTTAAAAATGAACGACCAAAACGTTTCATACACTTTGAAAATTTTGAATTGTTGAATTTTTCTTTCTTGATTTAGTTTAAGTATTGTATAATATGTCACACATTTCAAAGGAATCATATTATTTATTAATTTTTCCTTTGCTGTTGACTATTATTCGTTACATAAAACTTTGTTTTGTTGCAGCCTTCTTTTTCTCTATTAATAATAATTCTATTTCTTTTTCTCTATAATTAAAAGATAATTTTACATAGACATTAGAGCATAAAATTTAGATTTTTCGTTTTAAAATTAAATAGATTTTAATTGGTGCTTTATTTTGGGTACAAAATGTCAAAATGAAACTTTTATTAGATTATAGAACACGAAAAGAAATAAATTCTATTTTATTATGAAAAAATAAATATTTATTGAAATTATTATCGTTATTTTAAGAAGTTTCATTTTGTACTCTGGATCTGAAAATTATTTTCGATTTCTAATTCCTGATTCGAAGAGAATTACCTGAAACAATGTTTTGAAGAACTGAAAATAAAATTAGAAACTTGTATAAGCAAAACATTAAAATATTGCTATAGTATACAAATGTCATAAAAATATTGGCACAAAAGAGAATAACATATTCACAGATTAGAAAATAGGGGAGTTTAAAAAACGTTCCTACTTCTTTAATGGGTGTTTCATGTCATGTTGGAGATCAGCTGAAGCAAATGTAGTTGAGCAGGAAAAGAAGCTTCAGTTTTATATGGTGCGATTTCCCAAGCTGGGGACTAAGAAAAGGTTGTGATCTACGGTACATTATCTGTGACCTAGGGCTCAGTTATCTATTGGTGTACGCTGTTTCTCTTTTACTATATTTTAATCTAACAAACAGGATAAAATTTGAAATTTTCATTAGGCTAAGAAGTTAAGGAAATATTATATTTTTAAGAGTGTCTTTATTTCATTATCATGAAATCAAATCGCGGAGCTAATTTCAATGTAGATTTTTAGATTAATACCATTTCGGTAAATCATGGTATTCTATTTTTAAAATACTCACTGACATTGATAAAGTTATGATATGATTTTTGTTGTTTGACTTCTGAATCAGTATTGATAAAGTTATTTTAATCGGACCACGTATGAGAACCTTGAAATAGTTTATTGTTTTAAAGAAAATCTTGAATTATATGCCTTTTCTGTATTTTGGGGAGTGGGAACGCATAATGCATATTGAAGCAGAGTACTTCAATTTGGTTCTAGAGACATTAGGTATTTTGGAAGTAGAAGACGAAACATGAGCAATGCACGCCCTCGCCGGGACTCGAACCACGGACCTCTCGAATACGCGCCGAGAGTGCTGACCACTACACCACGAAGGCGTGCCAAGAAGGTGGGAGAAATACTTTATATACTCCCCCTTTTAAAGGGTGACTGAGGATTAGGGGACCAGTCGCTAAATCCTGGTGATGAAGAATCACCATCCACCACTTTTTTTTAGTTCGGGCGCCACTGTAGAGACATTAGGTATTTTAGAAGCAGAAGACGTGAAAAATGAGCAATGCCCTCGTCGGGATTCGAACCACGGACCTCTCGAATACGCGCCGAGGGTGATGACCACTGCACCACGATGGCATGTTAAGAAAGCGGGTGAAATACCTTATATGGTTATTAATATCTGAATGTGATCTTAAAATTTTCTACGCAAATTAAAATTGAGACTTTATCTAACTACCATTATTTTCAATTTAAGAAGAAACCTAACATGAATGATTTCGTTTTTAGACTCAAACGTGTAAAAGAAGTTCTTGGTCGCAAGCCATATCTGATGAAGAAGATAAACCTGGAGTGGGAGTTGGCTTCGTCAATCTCGGGAACACTGTAAGTATTAATTCTCGATCAAATATTTTAGAATTAGCCTTCTAAAATAAAAATGATATTTAATATTTTTCAAAAACATCCTTAATACCTAAATAGTACAAGGCTAAATTTCTCGAGAAATGCATTTTTGAATCCACTCATGTGATACGTGTGAGCTTCCAAGATTTACTACCTTCAGATGGTATATTAAGCAACTATTTAGTCGTGAAATGTTCATTTTGGGAGATAGCTAATTATTAAATTAACAAAATTTGAATAGCAAAGTATTTTTGATTTTACACTGACCCGACGGTGAAACGCTCTGTGTGGAGGATATTTTAGTGGTTTTTGCCCTGTCTTAACTAAGCAATACGTCAGAGTTCCCATACAAAATGACATGCGAATCCTTTCTTTTCATGGTACTAAGCTCTGCGTAATCTCTATGCGTTAAATTGATTAAGTTATTGTTTTAAAACTTTCTCTTTAAATGAACGACATATGAACTATAAAGGATTAAAATCGTGTATGATGCATGAGTTATACTAGAGACCAAATACGTAAATTTATTTTACGAATAGTTTTCTATGCTTGTAAAATTCTTTAAATAGGCATAAGAAAGAGGTTAGACTGTAGGATCGTTCTCTGTTTTTCCACATAAACTAAATTAGATCCTACAATGAACCTGGTGAATTCTCGCGCAGGCGTGAATAAATACCAGCCCAGAAGAAGGATGAAAGTAACCCTTAATTAAATTCAAATAGTTAACAGAAAGGCACGATCTTTGTGCGTTACAATGGGCCGGCAACTTACGGTGAAACTAAAAACGTAGAATGTAATTCAAGTCAAAAACCTAAAATAAGTAGCACATAAGTTACGCCTAACAGGTTGACTCATAAAAACCTAACAGGCATGATGATAATCCGAAATGGTCAAGAGGTTTACTAGCGTAATAGCGAAACAATAGCTAGCGAAAACACGCTCTGAATAAACTCAGAGATTCACCCGTTTAAATACGCACTTCACTTAACCTTAAATTTACATCCTGGCGAGAAAATGTGAGGGGAAGGTGAGAAGTTCAGTAAAGGTTTCAAACTTAAAATAAATTTGTTATGCAAAATAAGGGAAACCCTACAAGACATAAGTGCATTTAACTTCAAAATACATTTTTAAATATATTTTCTTTCATTTCATGTAGGCTTCCAACTATTGTAAATACTGTATAAACGTCAGTAAAGTAAGGAAACACCGAGAGCAGCGGATTGTTATGAAGGTTTTATGCACACATAAAATACAAAATGATTCACAAATATCCATTTTAGAATAGTTGCATAAATGCATGGATTTTAGATCATTAGATTTTGAATAAAAGAATAATTGTCAACTTTTGAATAAAAGTTTACCAATTTGGTACTATTCGGTTTCGAGGGCCGTAAAAAAATTGCAGCGAGTTCTATATTTCTTTAGACGCCATTGAAATACTAATTTAATTTTTAAATTCTTTTTTGATTTTACATCCTTTATTGATATCCTATGGATTTAACAATTTGGGAATTGCCCATGACGAAAAGTTGGCAATAGAAATTTGCTAAAGTGCAGAATCACCCACTGCTTGACGCGTTTTTAAGAATTGCACATACTCGGTATCCATCGACCTATTTTCACTTAAAAAAAAATCCTAGAATTGCACAAAAATGGCACTGCGCACACCCTTCACTTTATCTATGTACACATCGAGCTATTTTCACTTAAAAAGTAAAAGAAAATTGACAAAAATCCAATTTTTTTACCCTTGTAAAAAGCGGCGAACAAATAAGTGAGCGATTCTGCACTTTACCGAGAATATTTTTAAAGAAAAGGCATCATTCATTATAGAAAAATACGTTTGAACAACCAACGAGATGAAATTATGCTTTAGCGATAAGTCGGTAGCGAAATAGCGATGCAGGCATCCATTCAGTTATGTTTAGCAATTTTTATATAAATTATAATAATGATCTGAAATAGTTATTTATTCTTATGCTTCCATTCAGTCATGTTTAGCCTTTTTCATATAAATTATAATAATAAAAATTATTATATGAAATTAACCTTTCATTTAAATTAAAACATCAATCTTATAGTTATTTACTATTATACTTCCTTTCTTGCCGCAATTATTAGGGTTGCCGCAATTATTTTTGGCAGCATTGGCATCAACAATAGTTTGGCGATTTTTTACGGCCCTCGAAACCGAATAGTACCTAAACTTGTTTTTAAAAAAGATCTTTTAGAAACAAATAATGTTTTTTCCAAAATATAAAAATATCACTATTAAATGCACATTTGTGCATTTTTGTTTTATGTTCTGGTTAAAGTTATAAAATTTCCGACATAATTCCAGATTTGATTTGATTTCAAAAATTTTTTTGTATACTAGACTGAAAATGTAATTTATGTACACTTTTTAGTTTTCTAATAATTGACGGTGTTTAATAATTCTAAATTACACAAGCTTTAATTTTTCGTCTCATATCAGTTTCTTTCAATTAAACATGTGTGCTTTATTTATTAATAATTATGTGCTTTTAAAATATTTAAACTGATGAATTGACCGTTATCTGTTAAGAATAATTATCTTAAAATGATTGGCGTACGAAAAGGGTGAATGTAATTAAGCTTTTGCATTCCATTGGCATAATCAAAGGACTGCAAAAGATTATTTGTAGCTCTACGAAAGTATGTAAGACTAATTCAATACATCGCTTGAAGCAAATCCGGAAAACAGTCTCCAGACGGCCGATGATCTGTCCGAAAGAAGAAGAAGAATATATTATATTACAAAAAAAAAAAAAGGGGGAACGAACATTTCAACAAGAATATATTTCATATTAGAGCTAAGGATGATAGAAAAAGGTCTTTCCATAAGGGATAAGAAATAAGAGGAATAAATATTAATTTCATAATAGATGAAGAGATGCCTAGTAAAATCCCTTCAGTATATAGTCGCATCTAAAAAGTTCAAAGGAACAGCAATAAATTAGTAAGAAAGATTTTATGTTTTTATACTGTTTTTCGATTTTCGATTTAAATTTAAGAGCAGTAATAAAACTTAAATTTGGCATAATATAGAATAACCATTCCACATTTTTGTTTCTAGGAGCGGGAGGCGAGATAATGAAAGATTCGCTAATAATAACACGCAATTTAAAGTACAGTTGACTAGATCATATATTTATATCAGATAATATTAATATACTCTTTGAATGCTTAAAAGAAGTAATAATTATTACAGTTTTTAATAATTATATATAATTATGCATAATAATTAAATAATTTTGCATAATAATTACGTTACTGAAATAGAAATATATCCAAAAAAATTTATTTTTGCCTTAATTGCAACAAATTAAAAATTTGTTACTGAAATTATTACTGAAAAAAGTAAAGTTTAAAAGGAAATAAAGAGAACTGAAGTTAAGTAAACGGTATTTATTGAATTAGTATTCTAAATTATATTACATAAAGTTAAACATTTGTAGCTTTCAAACTAATTTATTAAGTTAATTTCGGACTTTTTCTTTATTTCATTTCTTTTCTGCAAAACAGAATCAGCACTAACAAATTAAAAATTTCTTTCTTGATGTATAATAAGTTCCAGTGAACGAGTACTAAAACGGACTTTAAAATAAGCTTATTTAATTGAGATTCAGAAGCTGTATGCAGCTACTCTAAATGGTTCATCTGGTTTCAAAATACTGTAATTTTTATAATTATTACACATTCAATAATAGCAAACGATACATAAGAAAAGTAGGATAATCATGAAGTTTCTTCAAACATTCTAAATGTTCTATATGTGTCCCATTATTCTAAATGTTCTATATGTGTCCGTGTTCTATATATGATCATGCGATACACATCCAAGTGGTAGTCGAGTCTTGTCTATATTTTTTGTTGTCGTTCCCTGCCAATTATCATCACAGCAGTATTGAAGTATTCTGTGAGCTGCACTAATGTTGTTGGCAGTAGATAAGACTTCGAGAATTTCCGACTGAGAAAATTGATAGGGTACAAACTTGCTAGTCACCTATTCAGACAATCTTTAGATAAATATAAATTACTATTACAAACGTCATATATTTTCAGTTTAAATGAATTTTTTTCTTTTTCACTGTTGAATTTTTCTCAGTGGTGGGGGAATATAGTTAGAATTTTCGATTGAATGAGAGAAATAAGGAATACTGGTTGCAAATTAGATTTTTTAAGAATAATAATAAAAATAATTTAAGTCAATATTTCATATGATGCAACCTAAGTTAGCAATATGACACTTCATGGATAAAAATTGTATGAAAGAAGAGTTAGTCTTTTAAATATAGATGCAATTTAAATTTTAAATGCAAGTATTGAATGCATTGCTTTCTCTCCTATTTATAAGTAAATATTAGAATTTTCCAAAGTAGGAGTAGTTATGATTTATTTCATTTGGAAATTACAAGTAGAATTCCATATACAGTCAAAAGTCGTTAATCCGGACTCGTCGGGACTTCGGCGATTCCGGATTATCGATTTTTCCGGATTATAGATCATCAGTTTAAATCGCGTAAGATGGCATGCAGAAATTCTAAAATTAAAAATATGAAACCGTAACTTATGAAAAAGAACAATTATGATCTAAAGGGTATCAAAATTTACAAAAGAAAAAAAAGCTTAATATTTATTTGTTTACTTTATTAAACATTTCTTTCAATGTAAGTTGTTTAAGTTGCTTCGCTTTATGTGATAATACTTTCTCTTTAATTCTATAAACAGACATCATTTTTTGTTCAGTTACAAAGTTCCGCTATTGAAGTCCCTTTAATTGCTGTGCCGAGAATACCGAATAACTTGTCAATCGAAATTTTTTCGTTTTCACTAACCTCTCTGACACATTCTTCATGTCTTTATCCATTTTTTGCAGCAATTCCACTTTTTGTTTGATGGACATCGAAACATACTTTCGTTTTGTACGATCCTTTGGGAGCTCCAGATTCGGAAATTCT